CATTGTAGTTTGAGCACTGAACTAAATGAATATTAAAGCACTGAAGGCTATTCTCGAAAATGTTTTGAACAGTATTCTCATTAAAACAAGGATACAGGCTTCTTGAATTATTATCTTGACATGAGAATACTCATTTGGGTGACAAAGTGTGATGTGTTTATGGAAAACTATCTCATTATGCTTGCATTTACACATTTTAATAGTAAGAGGTCAGTGATATTTTGGAATTAGTTCCCAATCCTGAAAAAGAGTTCACCTTTTTTTTACCATTAGTCAAAACCAAAGAAAACAATCAAAGGTGAGAATGGAAAGGCCTGGTCTAGTCAAACACTGCAATCCCAGTACTTGAGAAGTGGAGGCATGAGATCAGGAGGTCAAGGTCATCCTCTGTTTCCCAGGGAGTTTTGAGACCAGTCTAGGATAACTTGAGACCCTGTGTCAAAAAACAAACAAACAAACAAACAAACAACCCCACAAAACAAAACAACAACCAGGAAGGAAGGAAGGAAGGAAGGAAGGAAGGAAGGAAGGAAGGAAGGAAGGAAGCAAGCAAGCCTGCCTCCCTGCCTGCCTTCCTTCCTGATAATAGTTGCTGTGTCAGGCATGGTGGCGCATGCCTGTAATCCTGGCATTTGGAAGGCAGAGGGCAAGCTAATCTATACATCAAGTTCCAGGCTGGCCAGGGCTATATAGCCAGCCTCTGTCTCAGAAACGAAACAAAACATTCCAGAACAACAAAGTGTACATCAATGTACATGACACATATACACAAACATACATTTACATAGTGCATTGCCAGACTTTATTTAAAATTCATTTTATTTTTTAATTTATTTTTATTTTATATGTATGAGTATTATGCCTGCATGTGTTTTAGTGCACCCGTGTCATGCAGTGCCTGTGGAGGACAGAAGAGGGCGTCAGATCCCCTGGAACTGGAGTTAGGAATGCCCTGTGGGTGCTGGGATTTGAACTTGGGTCATCAGCAAGGACAGCCAGTACTTTTAACTGCTGAGCCATCTCTCCAGCCCCTTATTTTTACGTTATAAAAAATAGTGTTTTGCCTGCAGGTATGTAAGTACACCTGTGTGTGCAGAGCCTGTGTAGGCCAGAAGAGGTTGTTGGATTTCCTGGACCTGGAGCAGACAGTTGTTAGCTGCCAGTTTAAACTGACAGCTGGGAACTGAACCCAGATCCTCTGCAAGAGCAGCCAGTGCTCTTAACCCTTGAACCATCTCTTTGGATTCTATACATTTTTTTTTTTGTCTTTTTGAGACAGGGTCTCTCTGTGGTTCCAGCTGACATGAACGAACTCACTATGTAGACCAGGCTGATCTTGAACTCACAAAGATTCACCTGCCTCTGTCTCCCAAGTGCTGGGACTAAAGACATGTGTCACCACACCTGGCTAAACTTATTTTTTAAAAATATTTATTTTTATTTTTTTATGTGTATGAGTATATTGTCTACATGTATGGAAGTGCACCTGTGTCATGCAATGCCCATGGAGGACAAAAGAGGCCATAGGATCTCCTGGAACTGGAGTTAAGGACAGTTGTTAGCTGTCATGTGGGTGTTGGGATTCAAACCAAGGTCTTCTGCAAGAACAGCCAGTGTTCTTAACTGCGGACCCATCTCTCCAGCCCTCTATACTTAATTTTTAGAAACAGCTTTCGATTTATTTAAACATTGAAAAGATAGTATAGAGAGTTCCTCTAGATGAATGACATCTAATTCTCCCTAGTGTCTTACATTAATAAGGTATATTTGCCACCCTTTGCATGACCTATTCTTACCTTTTTTTTAAATCAGAAGGAGCTTAAGATTCAATTTTTAATTATTTTTGTGTCTCTGTATATGTAAGGAACATGTGTGTGTGCATGTGAGTGCAGTATCCCTGGAACCCCTAAAGAGGGTGTCAGATCCCCTGAATTTGGAGTTACAGGTGGTAGTTATTGGAACTCAGGTTCTGAGCATACTATCTCTTAACCACTAAGCCACCTCTCCAGTTCCTATTTATATATGACTTATTAACTGAAGTACATAATTGTGTTTTGTCACACTTTTTTTACCCCCCCGTTCCAAGGTCTGTAATACTATATTACACATAGTTCTTAATGTCTACCTAAGCTTTTCTTAGCCTTCCCTTGTTTCTGATGAACCAGATAGGTTTTTATTTGTTTTGAGGTAAGGTCTACATGTATAGACCAGGCTGGACTTAAATTTGTGATCCTTCAGCTTGTGCTCCCTTAGTGCTGGGATTACAGATGTGGGCCACCATGCTTCCTGCTAACCTTGTTATCAATTTTTTAAAAAAATAATATTTTATTTATTATTGTTATTTTATGTATATGAGTGCATTGCCTGCATGTATGTCAGTGCACCCGTGTCATGCAATGCCACGGAGGTCAGAAGAGGGTGTTGGATTCCCCTGGAACTGGAGTTAAGGATGATTCATAGCTGCCATGTGGGTGGTGGGAATCGAACCCGGGTCCTCTGCAAGAGCAGTCAATGCTCTTAACCGCTGAGTCATCCTACCCCCCTGTTATCAAAATTAAAAAAAAATTATTTATTTACTTGTTTAGAGTAAGTGGGTGCTTGTGTGTCATAGCATCAGTATGGAGGTCAGAGTACAACTTGCAAATACAAGTTGGTGCTCTTCTGTCAGGTGGATTCTGTGAATCAAACTCAAGTTGTCAGGCTTGGTGGCAAGCACCTTTACCTGATGAGTTATCTTGTTAGTCCTTGGTAAGCTTCTATATACATACATATATATATATTTTTTTTTCCTTCTTTTTTTTTTTCTTTTTTTTTGTCTTTCTGAGACAGGGTCTCCCTGTGGCCCCAGCTGACCCGGAACTCGCTATGTAGACCAGGCTGGCCTCGAACTCACAGAGATCCGCTTGCCTTTGCCTCCTAGTGCTGGGATTAAAGGTGTGCACCACCACGCCCGGCCAACCTTTTATATTTTTAAACATTTAAAAAAATTTATTTTTTGTGTATGAGTGTTTTGCTTACAAGTAAGTGCACCCATGAATACGATGCCCATGGAGGCCAGAAGAGGACACCAGATCCCTTGGAACTGGAGTTGTGTGGATGGTAGTTAATTGCCATGTGGGTGCTGGGACTCAAATCTGGGTCCTCAGCAAGAACAGCCAGTGTTCTTAACCGCTGAACCATCTCTCTAGCCCTGTTGTTTTTTTTTGACAGGGTCTTTCTCTGAAGCCCAGGCTGATTTTGAATTATGTAGTCCAGCTGGCCAATGCTCAGCAGTCCTCCAACTCTAAAGTTACAGGTTTGAAATGGCCACCTTTCCCTCACCCATCTTAAGATCCTCTTTTTTTTTTTTTTTTGTTTTTTTGAGACAGGGTCTTCCTGTAGCCTCAGCTGGGCTGGAACTCACTATGTAGACCAGGCTGGCCTTGAACTCAGAGGTCCTCCTGCCTCTGCCTCCTAAATGCTGGGATTAAAGGCATACGCCACCACACCAGGCCAGATTCTTTCTTCTTTTAAGTGCTTCACTTTATACAGATAGTATACACACTCTGCCTAGCCCTCAAGTGTTAAATCATATAATGGGAAGCAGCCTGATGCATAAAAAGACCTTAGACTTTGAGCTCAGTAAAATTTGGTTTGGAACCACTTTTGCGTTTTCTTCGGCTCTCCAGAGATCCGCTTGCCTCTGCCTCCCAAGTGCTGGGACTACAGGCTGTACCGCCACCATGCTCGGCTCGACCTAGGTTTCTTTTTACAGCAGGTTATGATCTGATATATGGGTGCTGGGACCCAAATCCAGTTCTTTCAAGAGCAGTAAGTGCTCTTAACCCTAGGCTTCTTTTTAAATGGAGGTGGTAAACCTTTTCTTATTTTTCACCAGTTTTTCTTCCAAACCCCCGAATCTAATCTGTGTTAGTTTTGGTATGCTTTGTTTTTGTGGAGCTGGTGATCAAAATCAGGCCCTTGCACATAGTTGAGCTCTCCTGCCAAAAAGACAAGTGAACAACAAAATACATTTTTGGTATTTTTTTCTTGTTTTGTGGTGCTGGGGATTGAAGTCAGGACCTTGCACATGTTAAAGGTGCTCTATCACAGAAGTACACTCCTAACTCTATTTAAAACCACATTTAAAAATGTGTCCATAAAACCTTTGACAACACAGTATTTTTTTAAAAAATATTTTATTATTTTTATGTGTATGAGTGCATTGCCTGCATATATGTAAGTGCACCTGTGTCATGCAATGCCCGGGAGGACAGATGAGGCCATCAGATCCCCTGGAACTGGGACAGTTGTTAGCTGCCATGTGGGTGCTGGGATTCGACCCCAGGTCTTCTGCAAGAACAACCAGTGTTCTTAACTGCTGAGCCATCTCTCCAGCCTTGACAACACAGTATTTTTGTGACTTGGAATTATTTAGTAGTTTGGAGGACTACATTTATCATTTTAGGTAAAAACTGTCACGTTAGAACTTTATTCATAGATAATTACCATAGGTTTCTTATAATAAAAAAAGAAAGAGGGCCGGACATGGTGGCGCACGCCTTTAATCATCCCAGCACTCAGGAGGCAGAGGCAGGTGGATGTCTGTGAGTTCAAGGCCAGCCTGGTCTACATAGTGAGTTCCAGGACAGCTGGGGCTACAGGGAGACCCTGTCTCAAAAAGATCAAAAAAAAAAAAAAAAAAAAAAGAGGAAAGAAAATAGAAGGGAGAGACAATAGAAGGAACTTGGTTTTGTTGGATATATCTAGTCCAGGGGGCCTCGCCCATTCTGACTTCCTATTGGTTGATCTTACCATCAGTCTCACTTGTAAATAAACCGGGGACGGAAGCAGGTTGGGCTCTTCCTGTTGCCATTGCTAGGGTGGGAGGGTGCTAAGAGATGGGGCTCCTGGGAGGAACGAGCGCTCCGAAGCCCCGCCCACCTGGTGATGGGTAGCGGCGCGTCTTGCAGCCGATTGGCTGCTGGCGCTGCCTATTCGTGACTAGTTGCTGGGGAGAGGCACGTGAGGAGGAGGTGGCTTGAGGCAACCATGGCGGGAGGAATGAAAGTGGCGAGCTGGCCGGCAGTTGGGCCCCTACCCTGGTGCTGGTGGGCCGGGGACAGAGGGGCGGTGTGGCTGCTCCTGACTCTCTCCGGCTGCATGGTCTGCGGCTCAGGTACAACTCCGGCGACAGCTGCGGGGTGGGGCGGGGCGGGGGTGTTTTTTTTGAAAAGTGGATTTATCCTGCGGGCGCGTCCGCGTCCTCCGCCGAGGGGCGACGGCTCCAAGGATGTGCAAGCAGACGCTTCGGCACCTCGGCTCGTCGGCCCCCGGTGGTGGTGGTGGTCGGGGGTCAGTGTCCTGGGCTCCGAGGCCCCCGGCACGGTCATTATCCTGGGCTCCAAGGCCTCCAGGGCGGTCAGTGTCCTGGGCTCCGAGGCCCCCCAGTGAGGAGTCGAGCCTTTGGCGGCTCCTGGAAGGGAGGCCTGGGCTCGCCCGGGACTGGGGCTTCCTTGAGTTGCTGAGTTAAGAGTGGTGGTGTAGCTGTCATGAGACAGGGACTGTCCCACTCATTCAGCCAATTGGTGAAAATACTTCAGTAGGCTCTGTCAGGGACTGGTTAGAGTTCGCTTTAGTGCTGTGAGCCAAGATGCACCTTGTAAGACCCTCGTACCGGACCCGCTGGAATCACTATAGTGCAATTCCCCAGAAAAGATGGCAGGGAGGTGTCTTTTGGAAACTACTCATTCCTTCAAGAACATTTATTTTGTACTGCTGTTGGACAGCCAGCTTTGGACTGGGTGGAAAATTTATTTTGTTCTGCAGTCCAGAAAAATTAAGCTTAAGAAATAGTTTTTTTTTTTTTTTTTTTTTTTTTAAGAAACGGATTTTTTTGCTCCCTTGTTAAATAAAGGATGGAAAAACAAACGACATTACAAGCTTCCTCTGGAGGGAGTTGAAACCATGAAGAATAAAGATAATCGTATCTTATAAAAACACACTCACACCTCCCCTTCTGCTGAGGCTCTTACCGGTGTCTTTAAGGTGGTTTAACAAGAGACTGAGAACTTCTTTTTGAGAGGGGAGGTGTCCAGAAAAGATTTCTTTTAAGATACAGGGCCTAGAATGGCATTGGAAAGATTATCATTACCTGAATGAACTTTTTAAATGGGGTCTTGGGTTGTGAAGATGAAATAAAATATTAAGCACACAATCAGCAGTTCCTTTCTTTGAAGTTTCTTTTACAGGGTTCTGGGGATTGAAACCTGAAACAAACCTTCTTGCTTGCTTTCCTCCCCTTCCTACTTTTATTGAGATAGGGTCTCACCATGATGCCCAGTAGCCCAGCCTGGCCTGGAACTTGAGAGAATCCTGCCTCAGCCTCCAAGAGTCCTGGATTATAAGCACCATAGCCAGACTCTTAACATTCCTTTATCAAGGAGAGGATTAGGGATGTCCTAGATTGGAGAAGAGTAAACTCTGGGAATGATTTAGAGGGATGATGGCCTGATTAGATGGGTGGCTGCAATCACGTAACACCCTAAAAGTCACTACTCAAAAGATGGAGTGGTGTATTATGACTTCAAAGGTTAGTTTCTTCTCACTGGAAGTTTTGGAAACATTTTATTATAAAAATAATGCATGTTTATTTTGGACTACTTGGCAAGTATTGATATAGTTTGGTATAAAGAAGTAGGCAGCCAGGGGTGTGGTGGCGCAGGCCTTTAATCTCAGTGCTGGGATGGCAGAGGCAGGCAGATCTCTGATATTGAGGCCAGCCTGATCTATATAGTGAGTTCCAGGCCATCTGCGTCTATAGAGAGACCTTGTTTCAAAAAAACAAGAACTAGGCAAAACTCTTGAGTTCATTTTTTGTGTGTGTGTGTGTGGTGTGTATACATGCAGGAGGGTGCACCTGCAGGTGTTGAGTGTGGAGGCCAAAGGTTGATGATATCTGATGTCTTCAATTGCTCTCCACCTTATTTTTTGAGATAGGGTCTCTCACTGAGCTGGAAACTTGGGAGACTTGGTTGGACTGACTGGCTAGCAAGCCCCTTGGATCTAGCTGTCCCCACACCCCAGCATTGGGGTTAAAAGTGCATGCCACTGTGCCTAGCTTTAGTGCTTAGCATCTGAACTCAGGTCCTCATGCTTGAAAATCAGACACTTTACACACTAAACCATCTCTCAGCTCCAGACTTAAAATTTTAAGGTATGTATTTTCTTTGTTCATGGCCTATTTATTGTGATTATTATTTTGATTTTTTGAGACAGGATCTCATAGCCCAGGTTTGGCCCTTATATAGTGGAGAATGACTTTGAACACTTAAATTTTTAAAATAAATTTTTTTAGGGGCTAGAGAGATGGCTCAATGGTTAAGAACACTGTTTTTGCAGAAGACCCGGAAATGAATCCCAGCACCCACATGGCAGCTAACAACTGTTCCTAACTCCAGTTCCAGGGGATCCAACAGCCTCTTCTGTCCTCCGTAGGCATTGCACTACATGGGTGCCCTTACTTACATGCAGGCATAACACTCATACACATGAAATAAAAATAAATATTTTTTTAAAAATTTCTTTTTTAGCTGGGCGTGGTGGTGCACACCTTTAATCCCAGCACACAGGAGGCAGAGTCAGGTGGATCTCTGTGAGTTCAAGGCCAGCCTGGTCTACATAGTGAGTTCCAGGACAGCTGGGGCTATAGGGAGACCCTGTCTCAAAAATACCAATAAAAAGTTTCTTTTTTATAAATCTCTCTTTTTTTTTTTTTTTGCTTTTTTGAGACAGGGTCTCCCTGCTGCTCCAGCTGGCCTGGAACTCACTATGTAGACCAGGCTGGCCTTGAACTCACAGATAATCTGCCTGCCTCTGTCTCCTGTGCGCCACCACGCCTGGCTATTTATTTATATTTTTTGTGTATGAGTGTTTTGCCTGAATGTAAGTGCACCATGTGTGTGCAGTTCCTCAGATTGTAAGCATGTGCCACTCTATATCACTATAGCTGGCTAGGAATTTGTAAAAAAAAAAAAAAAAAATTCTTATGTTGTAAGAATCAAATATAATTTCAAAATAAAATTTCCAAGCCTGTTTGCTTCCCCTTTAAGATGGAAAATTTGTATTTCTTATGTGATCATTTGCTTTTATTATTTGTATTTGTACTTAAGTGATCTCCAAGGCCAGTGAGATGATTGTGAGTAAAGTGCTTGGCACACAAGTCTGACAACCTAAGTTCAGTACCTGCAGCCCACGGTGAAAGGAGAGACTGACTCTCAAAAGTTTTCTGACCTCTACACCTGTTGTGATGCTGCGTGCATGCGCTCAATGGAAAGACATCACTAAAGTTGATATTTAATTTTGGGTTTTGGGGGGAAAATTTTTAATTTAGTTTAACTTATTTTCAGTGCTGGGGATTGAACGTGCTATGCAAGCATAGTACTGCTGAGCTACAGTTCTAGCCCTATTTATTTATTTTGTTGTTTTTTTTTGGTCTTTTTGAGACAGGATCTCCCTGTAGCCCCAGCTGTCCTGGCACTCACTATGTAGGCCAGGCTGGGCTTGAACTCACAGAGATTCACTTGCCTCTGCCTCCTGAGTGCTGGGATTAAAGGTGTGCACCACCATGCCCGGTTATTTTGTTGTTTTTTAAAAAAAATTTGTTTATTTTTATCATGTGTATAAGTATTGCCTGAATGCGTGTAAGTGCACCTGTGTTGTGTAATACTGCGGAGGTCAGAAGAGAGCGTTGGATCCCTTGGAACTGGAGTTAGGGGTGGTTGTTAGCCCCCACGTGGGTGCTGGAAGTTGAACCTGGATCCTCTGTGAGAGCAGTCAATACTCTAACCGTTGAGTTCTCTCTCCAGCCCCTTATTTTGTTGTTTTGAGACAGGGTCTCCCTTTTGCTTCAGCTGGCTTGGAGTTTGCTGTGGTGACCAGGATTTTTGTTTTGTTTTCAAGACAGGGTCTAACTATCTAGCTCTAGTTGGCTTGACATTCAGTTTGTAGACCAGGCTGGCCTTGAACTCACAGCGCTCCCTCTGCCTCCCAAGTGCTGGGATTAAACACATTTGCCACCATGCCTGGCCCCTCTTTGCTTTTTTAAATTTATAATTAGTATTGGTGTTTGGTATGAGGTGAGGATCTAGATAGATTTTATTTACTTACTTATTTATTATTTTGAGACAGGGCCTTCCTGTTGCCCCAGCTGGCAGAACTCACTATGTAGACAAGGCTGGCCTTGAACTCACAGAGATCTGCCTGCCTCTGCCTCCTAAGTGCTGGGATTAAAAGCATGTATTAACATACTTGGCAGATTTTTATTTTTTTAAATAAAATAGTCATTTAGCTGGGTGTGGTAGCATCTCTGTGAGTTTGAGGCCAGCCTGGTCTGCATAGCGAGTTCCAGGCCAGCTGGGGCTAGAGGGAGACCCTGTCTCAAGAAGACCAAAAAAAGTCATTTTATTAAATAAGATAATCATTACTAAATAATATAGTCATTTTTCCTAACATCTAACTTAAGATGAGCCCACTGACTTAAGATGCTAGTTTTTCATAACTTATCAAATTTATTTTTTGACAAATTCATACACATATATAGTTCATTCCGATATCTGTCACCTTCCCATTCTGAACCTCCACCAACTTCTTTTATCTGCTGCTCCTTCCTGTACATCCCTTTCATCCATTCATCCCTTTTTATTTTGTTTTATGATTTGCTAAGTTTAACCAGGGCCATCTGTTTGACCATGGATTTGGAACTATCTATTGGAACCTGTAAGATGCTAGTTTTTGGGCTAGCAAAATGGCTTGGTGAGTCAGGATGCTTATTGACACTCTGAGATCAATTCCTGGGACCCACATGGTGAAAGGAGAGAACCAACTCCCAGAAGTTAGCTTAATAACGGCACACGTGTGCCATGGGAAATGAGTGTCAACACACACACACACACACACACACACAGAGAGAGAGAGAGAGAGAGAGAGAGAGAGAGAGAGAGAGACAGAGAGAGAGAGAGAGAGAGAGAGAGAAATATAATAAAATGAAGAGACTTCTAAGTTTGAACTGGATTGCTTCTTGACAGATGGAGGGTATTTAAGAATTAGAAGATGGTGGGGGGGCAGCTGGAGAGATTGCTCAGTGGTTAAGAGTATGAACTGTTCTTGTAGAAAACCTGA